CATGGAGAGCCACAGCTGCCGAGCTGCAGCCCCATCCCTCCTCAGCAGCTGGGGAAAGCCTGGCTGCCGTGTAGTGGCCAAATGCATCCCCAGCGGTGGGGAAAAGCTGGGCTGCCATGTAGTGGCTTATTGCTTCCTGGTGGCTAGGCTGCTGAGCTGGGCTGCCTTCCCTGGTGGCCAGACAGAGCCAGGCTGCTGCGCTGCAGCCCCAGCCTTAGGCAGTCGGTCATGTAGGCAGTTTTGGGAGGGCTGTGCCCTCCATCGCCTACATGACGGACCACCGATGACTGCATTCTAGAATCATAGAACACTAGGACTGGAAGGGACCTTGAGAGGTCATCTGGTCGGGTCCCCTGCCCCCATGGCAGGACCAAGCACCGCCTAGACCAGGTGTCTCCAGCTTTTTAAAGTATGAGAGCACTTTTTGAAGTTAAGTGCAATCCAGGATCTACCTCAAACCCAAATACCTTTGTCTCACCTCCTTTGGGGCTCTTCTCCAAGGCCCAACTCCTGCTCACTCCATCCTTCCTCCCACCCCCATCCTTCTTCCCTTTCATCAGGCAGGGGCAGAGGGTTGGGATGCAGGCTTTGGTCTTGGACTAAGGAATCTAGAGTGTGAGAAGGGCTCTGAGCTGAGTCTGGGGCAGAGGTTGTGGGTACAGGAGGTGGTTCGGAGTAAGGCTCTGTAAGGGAGCTTGGGTGGGTGGGGGTGCCGCGGGTGCAGGAGGTGGTACATGACTGGGGCAGGGATTCAGGATGCAGGCTCCAGCTGGACACTGCTTACCACAGGTGGCTTCTGTGTGGTGGGGCAGTGGGGCAGAGCCAGGCTCACCCCTGCCCTGGCCCTGCACCACTCTCAAAAGCAGCCAGCAAACTCCCCCCATTCCAAGTCCTGTTATGCCCCACAACCCCATTCTGTGGAGATAGGGGAACAGCTCCAAGGCAAAGGGCAGGAGTTGCACAGCAGTGGGGAAAAGGGCAGCTGAAGTGTCTGCACTTGATAGCCTCCTGGCCAAATCAGTTGAGATCACCTGTCAGAGGCTCCAAGATCTACTGGTAGATCCCGATCTACTGGTTGGTGACCACTGGTCTAGACCATCTCTGGCAGGTGTCTGTCCAATCTGCTCTTAAATATTTGCAGAAATGGAGATTCCACAACGCTCCCACCGGGCAATTTATTCCAGTGCTTAGCCACCCTGACAGCTGGGAAGTTTTTCCTAATGTCCAACCTAAACCTCCCCTGCTGCAGTTTAAGCCCATTGCTGCTTATCGTATCATCAGAGGCCAAGGAGAGCAATGTTTCTTCCTCCTCCTTATAACAATCTTTTAGGCATTCTGTACATTCTAAATGCTACCATTCTGGGGTAAAACGTGTCTCTGATAACCGTAGACAAGTGACTTATCACATTTTGGGATAAATCATGAAGAAAATGATGACCATTTGAAACTTTCTGGGAATTGTAGGTGAGCAGAATGTAATTAGCTAAGGTTAGATTTAGACTGGGCTCTGGTTGCTTATACTCTTGCATAGTATCCGTGTTTTAGTGATTACAGTAGATGCAAATACTATTTGGTAGGGAAGAACACTACTTCGTTCATCCCCCTGAATTTTCTCCATCCAAGTCTGATAAAATGAGAAGTGAGGGGGTATTCTGCAGCAAACTCCTGAGGAAAACTGCTTTGATAGTTTGTGCTTATGTGAAGTGCTTTTCGGGCATCAACAAATCCAATCAAAAGTATGTAATAGCTACATGAGAAACAAATGGATTTGAAGAATGCAAGCTTCAGTAATATCTTGGCTCTTCAGCAGCTTGACACAGTTGTTAATGTAAAATGCTTTAAATTTCTCCAGCGTCATTTATCGAACTACATATATTAGTTATTCAGTGACTCAGCACTTCTAACCCCAGATATAACTTACATTAATGTTTGCCTAACTCTGTTGTGGGGTAAAGTATTCTAGTGGCAATAACAAACCCCTTGAACTTTGTTCCTTGATTAAACTGCATCTTTAAGTATAACTAGGGCAATCCTGCCACTTTCTCATCACATCACATACCTTCTTACTGTTCAGTAACCCCCAGTTTCTACCTAGGCAACCACAAGTTGTGGGTAACTTTTGCAAGAAATGTGTTCCCTGTAAGAAACCTTCATACCTGCTTCAGTTTTGATAGGATATGTTCAACTTAAACTCACCTGATTTTAAGGGTTTAAGATTTTTCACTATTTACTTTTGTTTTCAAATGTATTTGAAAGCATCTATTCTGACTGGCTTCTAGCATTTATGTAATTGAATTGTGTAATCCTGGATGATAATACCAAACCACAAGTATTTAACCTCAGACTACATTCTAGTAGCAACAGCACAGCAAAACCCTCTCTCTCAAACATCCACCCCCATCCTGCATCTCATCTCTTTAGCAAAGGCTTGGGAGAGCTTGCAAGATCTTATGACTGTCAGTAAATCAAGATTTTGCCAGGCCAAGGAGAAGCTCACATTCAAGCACTGAGGACCCTTTAAGGGAAATGCCTGGCCAACAACTCTTCAAATCACTGCTGCCCTTGGGAGTTGTTGCAGTGTGTCACAGGGCAGAGAGATACTGAAACCTAGTTAGAAGGTAGTGCACTTGCTGAGCAGTGTGCTCTCACTGTGCCTGGCCTCTGGGTAGGTGAGCCCTGCATTCTGCACTAAAGTGTGCTGAACACCCACGCAGCACCAGCTTAGGGTGTTACCTGAATAATTCTCACATCTCTTGTGCTTGATTTTGTCATTCAGAACAAATGGCACATCTTAGCAGTGTTCTTTGAATTCCTGGGTAGTTTCTTCAGCAACTGAGACTAAATAGACGTCCATGTTAACACCTTCAATCTGCTCTGTGCATCTTCCCTTCCTTTTCTGTACCGACCTTTGGTAATCACCAGTCAATCCCACCTTTGCATTATTGATCAACAGCTTGCATGCCTTCACTACCTTTGCAGTCAGAAACCACCGCATTGTGAAAGCCGAAAGACAAGATGAGCTAGGTAGCTTTGCACAGAACAGTATTATTGGATACCCAGTCCAACTTCCAGAAACTCCCAAATTCTAGAGGGCCAACGCTCCTTACAAGATACAGCTTTATCTGCTGCACCCCCCTCTCCACATGAACATCGTTATGGTTTATTAAATGAACTAGTCATGCCTTTGTCATCAGTAGTGACTCCTTCAAGGCTTCTATTTTAGACAGTTCTAAATTTTTGTTTCTTCATAAGAAAATGAAGGGCCATGATATTTTCATCACTTCCCTTTTAAATTCTTAGACTAGTTAGTTTATTAATGAATTCTAATTTTTATTTTTATTAAACATAAAACACTTTGTCACTATATCATCACGCAATTACTTTAGAATGTCACACAAGTACTAAAAATGAAAAGCCAATAACATCCCCTGAAAAACACCACTATACTGGGTTTTTAACAACATTTTTTTGCTCCTAATAGTATGTTCTATACTTAGTGATTATAGGGTCAGACCACGTGAGTTACCCAAGCCTAATGTTTAGTTGTTTTCACTTGTGGTTTATTAAAATATGATTGTATTTTCAATGCTTAAAAGTCCAGTTCATTTATTGTGTAGCTCTAGTTAAACCAGCTGCGATGGCATTCATCACTTTCTTTGTTTGACAGGGCAAATGGAATTGTAACTTCCAACTATTATTTTAAGACCTTCCCACTTTTTTATAGCAGGGGACTCGGCTGTTGACTCCAGTCTGCACTGACTTTCCAGACAGGTTAGCCATGCTTTTTCTGTGAACAGCTGCATTTGAGAACATTGCTGCTTTTTTTTCCAATTACTTTTTAGAATAAAATTAACTTATTGAGCATTGTCTTCTCTAGAGTAGATGATGTCAGCACTTTTTAGGTTGTGAAAAACAGCTGGCCAGGTTGGTTTTATTCTCTTTGTAACCTTGTTGAAGGTTGGATACTGTAAGTTGCAAATACTTTTATGCTGCTGCTGTTTGTGTCTGTGTGAATCTTTACTCTTTTCTTCCTTTGGGATTTATTGGCACTTGATATTTTCACCTGGACCGAGCTCTAAAATAACACAAAGTTCTGTAGTAAGGAATACATATTTGGGGATTTTGTAAGGGAGAGGGGTGTTTTATAGGCCAAGAAGCTCACCTGAACTTGCTCCAAGAGTGTTGAGTGTTTTTAGAATCCCCGGGACCGAACCTTTGTCAGTGCTGCTGCTGCTGTGTCATCCTAAGGGCTTGGCTTGGTGGGGACTTCCCTCTCCCTGTGCCTGTGATCCATCCTTGGTCCCCTCCTGCAGCCACTGCCATGACAACCCCAAGGGCAGGCAGCATGTCCTGCTTTGCTGGATGCTATTCCTCAGCGGAGCAGTGTGGTGTGGACTCATTGGCATGCTTGCTCTGCAGCACACAGCGTGTGCCGCAAGGTGGGCGGTAGTTTGCAAGAGTGGGGCATGCAGCTATTGCTTTACTGACCCCTCCCAGGGTAGGAGGAGGGGATCAGAAACGACTCACGGCAGCCTGAGAGGGTCAGGGTATAGAAACTGTGAAATTTAGCATAGATCTTGTGTGGTTTTTAACAGATTCACTATTGATTGCAGGGGACATTTTAGGAAGGCAGAAATGTCATGATTGAAATAGGAGTTTGGTTAGCATTAGGATTAGCATTTCTAATCTTGTGAAAAATGGCAGGGTCTGGCCTAGGGTTGTTAAAAATCCTAACTGCTGAGATTGATTATAGAGCACTAGAACGGGAAGGGACCTCGAGAGGTCATCAAGTCCAGTCCCCTGCCCTTGCGGCAGGACCAAGCACCCTCTAGATGAGCTACTGCAGAGCCTGCAGCGAAGTTCCCTGGGAGTGGGGCCGTCAGCTCCTGCAGACCTGGCTCCACTCCCAGGGAGGAGGCGTCGCTAGTGTAACCAACACCCATACACATCTGCTTGTCAGTTAAATGGTTTGTCGTTTGCACGCCAACATCCCTAATCTGGACCTTTTTCTTCTTAGGGAGTGCCTCCAACAAGACAGTTCCCCGTGCGCCAGTCCAGTTCGGTACAGTACTGACTCATCGTCGTTGTTTGAGTTACCAGAGTCCCCCAAAGCACTCCACAGACAGAACAAGAGCGAGCCCCTGGGCAAAGGTCAAGTCAAGTCACCGACATGATTTCTTGTAGAAACTGATTTTTCTTGCATGTCTTCTCGCCAAATGTTGAGCTGGGCTGACCCTGCCTAAGCTGTGGGTCAGGGTCTGATTTTGATGAATGGCTGTAGCATACACCTGCTGTCTCGACTTAGAATCATGGAACCACAGAGCTGGAAGAGACCTCAGAAGGTCATCAAGTCCAGCCCCCTGCTCTAGGCAGGACCAATCCCAACAAGATCAACCCGACCAGGGCTTTGTCAAGCCGAGACTTAAACACCTCTAGGGATGGAGACTCCACTGCTTCCCTAGGGAACCCATTCCAGTGCTTCCCCACTCTCCTAGGGAAATAGTTTCTCCTAGTATCCGACCTGGACCTCATCCACCACAACTTGAGCCCATTGCTCCTTGTTCTGCCATCTGTCACCACTGAGAACAGCCTCTCTCCATCATCTTTGGAACCTCCCTTCAGGGAGTTGAAGGCTGCTCTCAAATCCCCCCTCGCTCTTCGCTTCTGCAGACTAAACAGACCCAACTCCCTCAGCCTCTCCGCATAGGTCATATGCTCCAGCCCCCTAATCATTTTGGTTGCCCTCCGCTGGATTTCAAAATGTCTTCACTCGTATCTGAAATTCGAAGTAGTAGAAATTACAGTGTGTGAAGTAGGAACCAGAGCACATAGCCAGCACAGTGCTGAAAAAGCCAGAGGTGTTGGGTTGTTCATTTTTGTAGCCAGTCATAAGTGTTCCAGCGCCTGCTGTTCTGGAAATGGTTTGTTTATGGGAAATGTCACTTTCCAGTGATACCCTTCCTTCCACTCTAGTTCCATTCTAACTGTTTAACTCTCACACCTCATCCATTTCTGCTCGTTGGTATTTCAGTTATCATTAAGTATTTTTGACTTTTCCAATGTCTGTCTCAGCAATGAATAAATGAATTTCTAGAACATGGTCTGCAAGGCGAGTTACAGATTTTTTTCAAGAGGAATAGTGATTTATCGTATCTATATTTTGTGGACTCGTATTGCTCAGGTTTTGATTTTCTTAGGTTCTTGTATGGCTCTTGTATTAGTATCTGAGTGCCTCAGAATCTTTTAATACATTTACCCCCCAAAATCCCTATGAGCTGGAAAAATGCTCTTATCCCCATTTTATAGATAGGGAACTGAAGCGCAAACACACTAAGGCCCAAATATGGAAACGTATTTAGGTGCCTAAATACTTCTTCAAATATCTGGGCTCAAATGACTTGTCCAAGGACACATAGGAAGTCCATAGCTGAGCAAAGAATTGAACATGGGACATGCGAGTTCTGTGCTAGAAACCTAATGGTGGGACCATCCTTCCTTTTCTAGAGGTCTTCAGAGCCTGCATCTTTGTCAAATACAAAAAGAGTAAGATTTCCCCCTTTTGCTTGGCTAAGGTTCATTTTAGGAAGTGGACATATACTGTTCTTGCCAGAACCATTGAATTCAACAACTTGTGCCTTAACAGAATTAAAGAAAACCAACGGGGGGAATGGTCTAAAATTTTCCTTGCTAAATGTCAGTCTGCTTTGGCTTCCTTTATGCTGGAGGAAGGCAGAATAGTACATTCCTCAATACACTGTAAAAGGAGGCACTTTTTAAAGCAGAAGCAACTTTCATGAAGAATTTTCTAAAAATTTACTTTCATTTCCATGAGGAAATATGATTTCTTTCCAGTGCTCCACTCCAAGACCCACATTATGTAGCTGCTGCTTATGTACCCGCTACACTCTTTAAAGAAGTCTCTGAGGCCGCAGTCATTCGGATACTTGCACTGCCCCCGGCAGTCAGTTAAGCAGGCGTGTGCGGGCATACCTACATTACAGGTGCTAAACGATGCAGCTGGGCTGCTGTAGCACTGTAGGGGAGATGCTGCCAACATTGGCCGGAGGGGCTTTCCATTGATGTAGTTAATTCATCTCTCCAAGAGGCGACAGTTTGGAAGAATTCTTCCATTGACTTAGATGTGGCTACTTGACTGCAGTGCTCAAGGCTCAACAATTTTCACAGTGCTGATTGACATAGCTCAGTTGATCTCATTTTCAAGCACAGACCATTCCTAAATACAGGAAAGCTTGGGTATCTGGCACTGTGGGGGAATGAGGAGTGCTAGCCAATCAGGAATTCTGTGAACTTGGTGTTCCTGGCCTTTGTTTGTCTGGAGGTGGGTGACGAGAGGGATCATGGGAGGATTCCCTGTTGCGTTCCCTCCCTCCGGGCACCTGGCAGTGGCCGCTGTGGGCTGGCAGACACTGGGCTGGAGGGGCCTTTGGTCTGACCCAGCCTGGCCGCTCTCATGTTCTTCTTACCGATTACCCACCCTGTGCTGGGTCCCCAGTTGGCAGGCTTATCTGTTTTGAGAGTCCCGCTGCTGCCCCTGTGCCACCCCCTCCCTCACCTGCTCTCCTCCCAGTGGTGGATTAGTCATTGAGTCAAGGGATGTGCCTGGGGCCCCAGCCAAATGGGTGCCCTGCACCCTCACACACTCAGCCCCCTGCCCATTGTTTCTGTGGGGGGAGTACATGGGGTAGGTGGAGCAGGGCAAGTCCATGACCTTGCCCCCTGGCTGGCGTGCCAGGCAGGAACGGGTTAGCTCCAGACCTCACTGCCTGCTGGAGAACCGAGCAGATGGGCAGGCAGGGAGGGACAACTCGGGGGCCTGTGATGGCTGGGCCTGGATGCTAAGTGAATGGGCTGTGGCTGATCCCGGCCTACCCACGGCTGCATCCCAGCTTGGGTCTCAAATAGCTTTGGCATCGATTCCAGTTAGCTCTGGCATTGGTCTTGGTTACTAGATTGAAGATTGACACGGGGAGAGATCAGAAATGCCAGGTTCTCTCTGCGGAGCAAGGTGCCAGATAACGCTGCTTTGACTGTATTTGGAGGCGCTGGGCTTCAGGGTGTGAGCTCTTTGGGAGGGTGATTGTCTTTTACTACAGATTTGTGGGGCGCTGTGTGCAGCTGTCCCTTGAGATGGTTCATGCCTCCAGGCACGCTTGTAGTACAAATAAGCATGGCATGTGTTCTTCCACTGTTGAAAATAAGGCATGCAGTTCAAATAGAGCATGAAGTTGGATTTGCAGTTGACATGGTGAGTCTTAAAAGTGTAAATAACAGCGCCCAAAACTAAAACCTGTTGATTTGGTAGCTATTGTTACCTAATAATCTTTTCTTAGATAGTTGTTAGTTTGAATGTTTAAAGCTGTATGCTGAAATGTTTCCTCTTTCATGTTGTTGTATAGTAAGATAAAAATCAGGAGTTTCATTGAGGAAAAGTTACTTCCTTTGTTAAATAACCTACATAGCCGAGGATAAGGATCAGTTGCTGTCAGTCCATGGTGGTAGTCTGCTTGCAGCTCTGAAATAGTCCAGTACCTAACAGAAACTCAGTTCCAGCTTTTTACCCCATCAGAAGAATGATACCTGTTAGTAGGGATGTAAAGCCATGTAACCGATCAAAATGGTTAACCGCAGGGCTTGGGCTGCCGGCCCTGCGCCAGGGACAGCAACTGGGGGGTGCTCCATTTGGATTGGGCACTGGTTACTGGGAAGCATCACCCAGTAAGGGTCAGGGATGTTAAATAGCGATTTGTAAGCTAATAGAGTAGTTGATGGAATGTCCATTGATTAGTTGATAAGGGGGTTAGCTCCTAGGGTGGCGCAAGTCGGGATTGAGCAGTCCCGACTTGCGCTGGCTCCAGGACAACTGCGGCTCTGCTTTTTAAATGTAGTAAAAGCCATTAGGCTCTTACTACATTTAAAAGGCAGGCGCCGCAGTGGGGGTCCTGGCTTGCGCCAGGTCCCAGACCGCTGCACCTCTGCTTTTTCAATGCTTACTCTTACTACATTTAAAAAAGCAGAGCCGCTGTGGTTTGGGACCAGGTGTGAGCTGGAACAGCTGAGTCCTGGCTTGCGCCGGGTCCCCCGCTGTGGCTCTGCCTCCCCTACCCCCTGGCAGAGATGGTGCTGGGGGAACCGGCTCTGCACAGTCTAGGCTTATTGCGTAGTCGACTACGTGACTAGTTGCTTACATCCCTAGTAAGGGTGATGCTTACTAGGTAACTGGTTACCTGTTTACATCCCTACCTGCTAGTAACAGAGTGTACATGGCACAACCGCTGGGAGAGAATTATGAATGTGACTTAGACCTTGTCTACACTTGCAAGTTTTGTCACCAAAAAACCCTTTCTGGCGACAAAAACTGTTCCCATTGTGACACGATAAGAGTCGCGACATACCCCCATTTTTGGTGACAAATTGATTTAGGAAATTAAATAATTTTTCAAAGCTTTTTATGTACTTAGGAGTCTAAATTCCATTGGTGATGGAATTTTAAGCTTCTAAAGGCCTAAATCTTAGGAAAATTATATTTAGGTTCCCATGTCAAGTATTAGGGTTCAGAATCTGTTTTCGGCAGACGGCAGTGGACCTATATTTTTCCATAAAATCCTTTTTTGTCACTTATGTTTTAATGCAACACAGGGTTGTGCTTTTTTTTTATAGTTTTACCTCAAAAATCTCATCACATTTCTTTGCTTTTTATGCCAATAGTGTAGGGTAAGTCTTGCATTTCTTGTTGAATTTTGGATTTTCATGATCATCTAAGTACTAGAGATCCCTTGCAATCTCTACTGCTTAAATTTCTATATTCGGTTTAAGGATAACTTCTTAGAGTGGCTTACCTTATTTAAAATTGGATTTTGAGTGATCCCCATGTCAATTTCCAGAGGCCTAAGTGTTCCTTCTGATTCATTTGCTTGTTTTAAAACTTTGCATGACCCTTAAGTCTCTATGCCTTCTAACCTTCCTTCTTCACATACAAAACCCCCCTCGCAGTTTATGCCGACAGCCTTTTATTTATTTGAGTAAATAGGACCTCTCGATGCTTTTGCAAAGAACCCCGATTACTGCATCAGCAAAGCATGAATGAGTACAGAAATGGAGAGGGAATGTTCTGACCTTGAACATTCTCTTCTGCAACTGTCCCAAGATGAACAATTTTCCTCCTTCTGCAGGTGTCTTATTTTTATTAGACTCCATTAGCGGTGGGATCAAAAGGCATTAGAGAAAAGTGTCAGGTTAGTTATTACTGGGCTATTTTAACAGTGAGTGGAACAATGTACAGTATTCCAGTGAATCTTTAGTTTTCACAATTTGTTTTGGTAAAATACCAAAACCAATGAATTAATGGACTGGATTTTTATTAAAAAATGCCAAAGCTAGAAGTGTCTTATTTCTTACCTCATCTTGGTGGAGGAGGTTATGTACACTCAGTTTGAATACCATCATAGAAGATTTAAGCAGATTGCTGTTATGCTGCCTTATTGCCTGCCTGCCTTTTGTAGTAATACTTGCTGTCAGTCCAGGGTTATGCATTTTTCTCTCAATAATAAATAACATTTTCCTTGATCACCCTCCCGCCCCTCCAGCCAAAGCATTCTCATACTCTGCCCTGATGTAAGTGCCTCCTCAGCCCCGGATATTCCCTGACACACCCAGTGGGAGCTCCCAAAGAAGGGTGGAGGCTATACCCAGACCCAGCCTTTATCTGACTGTGGCTGGCCAATTGTAAAAAGAAGCTGTTCTGCTGAAGTCTGTTTATTGGTGCTGACCTGGAAGGATTCAAGTAGGCTGACCTATGCAGTCAAACGGAATAGGGTTCTCGTGAGATTGTTCGGTGCCACCTGTTTCTCTGAGGATTTGTCTCTATTGCATTACAAGCTGAAAGTTTCAGTTCAGGCTCAAGCCGAACCGTCCATCTGCACACAAATTGCACTAGCCCAGCGCTCAAATCTGGGGTCCCGGAATGCCGTAGAAGTGGTGGGTCTGACTCTGAGTTAAGCTGGGACCCAGAGTTCAAGCCCTATAGCTTTGCTGTGTAGAGAGCCTCCTGGACTCACGCTCTGGGAGTCCACAGTCCCACAGACCGACTTTGTGTCCTATTGGCCAAGCTTGATGCTCCAAAGTGATGTTTTCCCAAGCTGCACCATAAACCAAAGGCTAAAAAAGCCACATTTGGGGAGGTGCGAGGAAGTCTGGAATATGGGGCCTCATAATCTGGTGTAGAAGCTGGAGCCCCAATTTGGGACCCTGGGGGTGTGTCGAGACTACAGGGTTTTTTCGACAAAAGTGGACCTTTGTCGACAAAACTAAACCTGCATCTACACTACCGCTGAGTTCTGTTGACATAACGTTGACAGAACTCAGCAGTTTTGTCGACGCTGGTAAACCTCATTTTACCAGGAATAACTCCTTTTGTCGACAGAGTTCTGTCGCCAGAAGGCGTTATTGCATCTGCACTGTCCTTTGCGTCCACACTGTTATGTCGACAAAGCAGCTTGCTTTGTCGACAGAACTGAATGTAGTCTAGACGCTCTTTGTCGACAGAAGCTTTGTCGACAGTATCTGTCGACAAAACTTCTGTCGACAAAACCCTGTAGTCTAGACGTACCCTGGGACTATAAATGAGAGTAGGCTTTCAAACCCTAACTCTAAATGACAGATCTGCTAGCTTGAGATCTACTAACCCTGGCAGTGTAGACGTATCCCCAGATTCCTGGTATTCTGGACTGTCTGGTATCCCTACAGCATGCAGGGTTATCCACCAACTCCATGCATCAGCAAATCATTGTACTGGGCAGTATGTTGTAATTCTGAGCATCCTCCAGTTGCTAGATTCCTTAAGGGAATCATTCATGTGTTTTCCCCATTGTGAGAGGGCTCCCCCATTTCTGACAGGTTAATGTAGTTTTATTTGGGTTACTAGATTCTCCTCTTGAGCCACTAGCAACATTGGCACTGCTACATCTATCTCTTAATATCTCTCTCTCGCTCTCTCTCTCTCTAGGTATACCACCAACTCAAAAGTATAGAAGAAATACAGGTATTTGCATCTGGTCCACCTTACATGTTCGTTAAGGATAAGGTAACCCTTAGGTTCATCCTAGGTTTTTACTGAAGGTTGTTTTGCACTTTCATTGGAATCAAATGATTCATCTCATTGTTTTCTTTGCCAAGCCCCGCTCAGCTAAGGGAAAGCTAAACTACAGACCTCTGATGTTAAAACTAAAAAAACCATGAATAGTCCTGCAGCACCTTAGAGACTAACAACAATGCAGATGGTATCATGAGCTTTCATGGGCACGACCCACTTCTTCAGGTGACTGGAGTTAAGGGGTTCAGGGTACAAATAAATAGCAGAGAAAGACAGGGGATGGGGAAGAAAAAATGGGAAAAAATGGGTGGGAAAATTGTCAGAGTGTCCCTGCTAAATGAGGCTAATGGAGTGGGCTCCAAGTACCTGGTGCTTAGCTTTTTATGTCATTAGGGTGTGGAATGTACCATCTCATCCATGGCTGCTCTGGATGAGCTTGTGTGGTGCAGGCTGTGGGACTAGAAAATTGCTTTGTTGACATTTGGGCTTGGGTGGGAGCCCAGGCTCTGGGATCCTACCCCCCTCACTGCGGGGAGAGGGCAGGGGCTGGAGCCCAAACATCTGCATAGCCTTGGCCAGCTACAGCCATGCCAGGCGTCTTTTATTCCAGTATAGCTGTTTGCTTATCACAGCAAACAAGGGTGTTTCCATAGCACAGATGAAGAAATCACTGACAGGTATTCTAATGTTTGCTGCCTGTGATGATACAATGTTTTGCCTGTGATTACGTTTAGGGACATTGTATGATCGCAGTTCACTCATACGATTAACTCAAATTAATCATGACTGATCTCCGTTTTAATCACATGGTTAAACAATAGAATGCCAATTGACCACCTCATGCAAGTACTATAGTGCAATCTCTTTATCGTGAAAGTACAACACACACATGTGATTTTTGTTTGTTTGTTACATAACTGCACTGAAAAACAAAACTGTGTACAACTGTGGAGCCTAGTAGTCCACTCAGTCCTACATCTTGTTCAGCCAATTGATGACAAACAAGTGTGTTTACATTTATTGGAGCTAATTCTTCCCACTTCTTCTTTACAATGTCACCAGAAAGTGACCAGACTCACATTACAAAGTCACCAGAAAGTGAGAACAAGTATTTGCATCGGACTTTTATAGCTGCCATTGCAAGGTATTTTCGGGCCATGTATGCGAAACATTCCTATGCCTTTTCATGCTTCGGCTTCCATTCCAGAGGATAGACTTCCATGCTGATGATACTTGTTAAAAATAAATAAAATGGGTTAATTTAGTTTGTGACTGAACTGTTTGGGGGGAGAATTGTATGTCTCTGTCTCTGTCTCTGTTTTACCTACAGTCTGCCATGTGTTTATTTCATGTTCTAGTAGTCGCTGATGACTCAGCACGTGTTTATTCTAAGAACACTTTCACTGCAGATTTGACAAAATGCAAGGAAGGTACCACTGTGCAATTTCTAAAGCTAGCTATAGCCCTGGGCCTAAGGTTCAAGCGTCTGAAGTGTCCTCCAGAAGAGGAGTAGTGCATGCTTTCAGAAATCTTAAAAGAGCAACCCTCGGATACAGAAACTATAGCGCACATACCATCCAAGAAGGCAGTCAGCCTTTTAGGGATGTCAGATCCCTTGTAATCAGTTTTCTGGTTAAATGTTATGTTTAACCAGTTAACTGTTTAACTGGGGACAGGTGCGGGGGGGAGGAGGGGCTGTGGGTGAGCTGGAGCACCCCCGCACGCATCGTGCTGCTCTGGCCAGGCCGGGTCCACTGTGGGTGGTGGTTGCTCTGGCTGGGCTGGAGCACCCCTGCCTGTGGTGCAGTGGGTCTCACTGGGCTGGAGTAGCCCCTTGCCTGCGGGGGGCTGCTTCAGCCCCTGCCAGTTAACTGTAACTGGTAAACCATTCACGTCCCTACAGCCTTCTGCTGGAGGCATCTGACTCAAATGACGAAAATGAGCTCTTCAGTCTGCACTGTTTTGGATCGTTATTGAGCAGAACCCATCATCAGCCTGCACATGTGTCCTCTGGAGCGATGGTTGACATGTGAAGGGACATACGAATCTTTAGCACATCTGGCAGGTAAATATGTTGTGATGCCAACAACAACAGTAACATCTGTTCTTACTTTCAGGTGATATTCTGAACAACTAGGCAGCATTATTTCTTGCAAATGTAAACACATTCGTTTATCTGAGAGATTGGCTGAACAAGAAATAGGACTGAGTAGACTTATACACTCTAGAGTTTTACATTGTTTTATTTACATATTTTTTTACACATAATTCTACATTTATAGGTTCAATTTGCATGATAAAGAGACGGCACTACAGTATTTGTCTTAGGGGAATTGAAAACTTTTTGACAGTGAAAATTTCAGTATGGAAAAAGAGTGACCACCATACACTTTGTATTGTAATTACAGTCACTATATTTGAAAATGTAGAAAACATCCAAAACTATTTAAATAAAATGTATTATGTTATTCTTTAACAGTGTGATGAATTGTGCAGTTAATCATGATTAATTTTTTAAATAGCTTGACGGCCCTAATCATTTTCGTAGTACTTGATAATTACAGCCCATGGGATATTTTCAGCCTATTTTCACTGAGTGCCCACTAGAGGGCGAAGATGGTTTTCTCTCTCTTCACTTCTTAAAAACAAAAAAGGGGTGCATTCTTGAAATGATTTGTAAAATTGACTCAAAGACTTGAGTCAGAACTTGTGGTAGCTTGTGCATAGATTACCAAATAATAAGCGGTGCATGTAGAGATGGAAAATCTCCCTGAAGAGATATCCCTTAAACTTTTGTTTCCTCAACAATGGATACAGTTATGAGCTCAGGCAGAGTTTCGGGAGGGTGGAGGGGCCGCAGCCGTGGGCTCTGCCATGGCATTCCCGGCCTTAGTGAGGGGAAGTACTTGCGTTCCATGCATGCCTCTCACCCCAGGCTGGTGAAGGGAGCGCAGCAGCCAGGGGCGAGAAGCATGCACGGAATGCAGGCACTTTCCCCACACGCCCGGACAGTCCTGGGAATGGGATGAAAAGCTAGCTGCTGCGCCCTCCCCCTCCCCCGCCGAAACTGCCCTTGATTAGGAGCACAACATCATGACCTATTCAGGGCAGTTGACATGCATCTCAAGTCGTCCTTGTCTCCTAGCCTAACTATGGGAATGTTCAGAACGTGCTTTGTAAATCGGTGCTCTTCTTCCAGAGAGGGCCCCGTGGGTGCTCCCCATTCGGTTGGTGCGCCAGCGCCGCACCTCAGAGCGGAGATTTTGTAGCAGTGTCCTTGGGGCTGCGCTGGCGCACACCAGCCACCGTGCGCTGTTAGGCTGCAGGCGTTGCGCAGGTGCGACCCCCCTACTCTTCAGTTCCTTTTCTGTTGCCTCCAGCTACCGACGGACTCATCCGTGATCCCTAGCGTCTTCGCGTCTACATGACCAGACTTCTTAAAACAGTCACATTCACAATAGTAGTTGTGACAGCACGTTGGGGTTTTCCCGTCTCCTGCACGCCTGGCTCTAAGGCCCTTGCTTCTATTGCGCTTTGTCACTCGCTGCTGGGAGCTCCGTCCACGGAGTGCAGTACATCCCACTTCTGACACCAGTGTGACGGCGCGTTGGGGTTTTCCTGTCTCCTGCACCCCCGTAATGGCACGGACAGACTCCACCAGCCAGTAGAACAGAGGGAGTTTATTGCTTCTCCAGGATACAGCACAGACGTAATCTGGTTACAGGGCAGGCCTAGGATGCCTCAGCCCCCCTGGAGATGCGGGAGCCTGGGCCCCTAAATCCCAACCCGTTGCCTAGGCTGCTTCTTCCATGATACCAGACAGAAACCTAACTCACTCACTTCCAGCCCTGCCCCCAGCCAGGGCTCCACTCCCCTTCTTCCCATTGTTCCGCTCCCTGGGAGATCACTGGTCAGACAGGTTTGAAGCCCCCTTGCATAATGACTCCTCTCCTGCCCTGCTGGGCCGTGCTGCAGACAGTGGAGGTCACTCACAACCCACTGCCCAGCATAGCAACCAGCAAAGTACCTCCCAACTATGTCACAGTAGTTAATTAGTGAGTTTAAATACTTAATTACTTTGTTAGTTAAAAAAAAACTCGATTAGTATAAGGGTGTTTTTTGTTTTGTTTTTCTTTTTCTCCCAGTTAATCCCTTCCTGCAGTCTCTGACTGTTTCCTCAGGCAGGCCTGGCTCATCGCGGTTTAAGTGCTCTACCTCATGTAAAGAGCCTATCCTGATATCGGATGGCCACTCACAATGCGTCCACTGCCTCGCAGAGCAGCATTACGCTCAGAAATGTCCTCATTGTGCAAAGCTAAAACTGTGGGCACAGAGAGACAGAGACCTCCTGCTTCAGTTATTTTTATTGGAAAATTCGCTTAGACCAGCCTCTGATCTGGGCCAGCAGCCAGAGAAACGTGAGCAGCAGGGATCCAGAAAGCTCGCCAAAAACGTATGATGCTGCCGGCGTCTTTGGAGACCCCAACGGAGATGAAAAGCAGGCATGCGCTAAATCGTGCTCTGAGGTGACAGGCTTGGAGTTGCCTGCCTCACTAGCTGCAGCACCATCCGGCAAGGATACAGTCTTGCCGACGCAGCACGAGAGCGCAGCGCCAATCACATCAACAGGCATCTCAGCTGCTGCCACAGAGGCACCTGATGTGGCACAGCTGCCCTCGGCTCCGAGGCATGATTCAGTGCCTCAGCCTCTGTGTCTCCTGCTATGGTACCGCCAGCACCTGTTGGGCATTACACTCAACACAGAGACTTATTAGTCTCATCCACTTTTAACTCACCACTTTTACAAGCTGAACACGCTCTGCTGTGTTCACATCACAGAGATCACTCTCTGGGAAAAATTTCATCCGAATCTGGTGACGACTTCTCTAGGGGTTTTTTTCACCAGAGAATTCTCCTTACACAGCTCGGAATATTTACTCTTCCAGACTAGGAATATGCCTTCATATTATGGCAATCCCTGGGAACCTCACCTGAACCTTAGCCCTACTGCCAATACTGGCACAAATGGCAATATGATCACGAACACTAGCATAGGTGGGAACACCACAGAGTGCAGTATCCCTCCACCAAACACATACAAGAAGGGGGCTCACTCGCATAGGAGGCAGTACCCCCTGCTGACCCAAGTAACCTCCCTCCAGTGGAGGGAGAGTCTCTGGCCCCAGCTTCAATGACTTCAGACGATGCTGCACATTTCCAAGACCTTTTTAAATGTGTAGCTGCAGAATTAAACATTTCTCTTCGTGAGGTTGTGGAAAATCAGCACGCGCTAACAGACAAACTGCACTCAGTAACACCATCAAAAATACCATTGCCAGTTAATCCACTGACAATGGAATCGGCAAAGATGGTGTAGCAAACTCGGTGTCATTTTCTTCGACGGCTAAGAGAACTGATAAGAAATACTATGTCTCACCCAAGGGTTCCGAATTTCTTTTTCTCACCCAGCACCAAATTCCCTCGTGGTGGAAGCTGCACAACTAAAATTCAAGCAACAACAATATTGGTCTACTCTATTGGACCGTGATAGCGAGAGGTTTGATATATTCTTCTGCTGTACAATTTCGCATTTCAAATTACGCAGCTTAATTGAGCAAATCTGATTACAGAAATTACACCAAACTGAATGACTTTGTTGCAGACATCCTTGAGGCTAAGGGGCACACTACAAAGCACTGGTATTGTTACACTGAGGGAAGCTTGTACCTACATTTGCATCTGATTATTATTAATTAAGCCTCAGTGGAAGTTGCAGATACCACCAAATCTCATCTTTCATAGGTGTTTGCTGACCCAAGAATGCCGCAGTAAATAAAAACGTTGCTCACTTTAAAAGGGCCAAACCATATATTGTAAAAGTTTTAAAAGCACAACAAGGAAAAGCAGGTAAACACTTTTTATCCCAACCCCAAGAAGGAAAGAAGATAGAAAAGTACCCCACAAACACAAGGTTACACAAAATACAATAATTACACAGTCCAGTAGTTGACAGTGGGTGAGAAGCTCCTGTCTCTCAAACCTTTGGCTAATTTAAAGCCTCTGGTGAAAGACAAGGAGGAGATCCCTCGCAGCGGTGACCCTCTGCGGTGCTCTGGACCTCAAGCCTTAGGCTCCTTCCGAGCCCTCAGCGAGGAACAGAGAGGCGATCCCTCGGAGACCCTGGGGACGGGTGTGGTGCAGGCAGGTGGTGATGATCCTCGTCTGGGGCCTTCCGCTCCTAGGCGCAGGAATCACCGGTGGAGACTTGCCTGGCGCTGATCTTCAGGTGGCTTCTGCTCTTCAGCAGGAACCGATGATAGACAGCTACCTATCTCTAATACCTGGAAACAAAACCTGACTAGCTAGACTCGACGCTCCCGATACGGACAAGTACCTGGCCGCTGGTGCGGTGAACCGACGCACTAATCCTAACGGACACACTCGATGACGAAATCTAGCTAACCCTAACTAACTATAGACTAACATAGACGCTCCCGTCACGGACAAGTACCCGGCGGCTGGTGCAGTGAACCGACGCACTAACCCTAACGGACACACTCGATGACGAGATCTAGCTAACCCTGACTAACTATAGACTGACATAAACAGACAGGAGACAAGCAGGGACAATGGTGGCAGGAACGAACACAGACAACTGCTAGCCAGGCCTTCAAAGCACCCTTCTCATAAATATTCATGATCTTTATCTTTAAAATCATAGGCCCCTGTACAGGAAAATAAGGGTCCCTGGTTGGTTGCTTTGATAAACAAGTTGTAACAGCCTGGATCAGTGTGCTGCATGCAGCAGCACAGTGTGACATGTGCAGCTACTTGCGTGCCGTGTGCCACATTCCTAGAAACTTCTAACTGAATATGAATACAGCTAATACATATTCATAACTAAAGATACATATTAATGAGGTGTCAAAGTGACAGGCTACAGTATCCAAGGGTCACCCGATTGCAAGAACGGCGTTACAGGCCGCCTTCGAGGCTGCTGACACAGCTGCACGTTCTATAGCAACAGCGGTATAATGAGGAGGGCATCATGGTTTAGCTCCATTCCATTCCCCCAGGGAGATTCACTCTACAGTAGAAGATCTGCCTTTCGACAGCCAGAAGTTGTTTGCAGCTAACACCAACGAAATTCTCCACTCCATGAAAAATTCCAGAGTGATGCTTCAGTCTTTGGGGATCCACACCCAGGTACCTAGAAGAAGGCAGTGTAGGTTTCAGCCCTACCCCAGACCTCGATACCCCCCCATATGCACAACACTGCAGGAGACAAGACCAGCAGCAACAGAACAAAGGCAGAGGCAGAAACCAATGATGACGCCCTTCCTCTACCGATTCCCAACAGTCGCAGCAGTCCAACAAGCAAACTCGATCATCTGATCGAGGGTCTGTAGAGCCTGTCACCTATTCCAACGCCATCAACGCAAGCAAATCTCTTCCAGCATCGATTGTTGCCCTTCTTCAACTGGTATAACCTCTGATAGATGGCTCCTGCAGATAATTGAAAAAGGCTACCTTATTACCTTTGTGTCCATACCCCCTTGGCCACCCCCCTTCTCTGTCTCTTTTCAGGGACCACTCTCACAAGAGCCTTCTCCAACAAGAAGTAGAGCTCCTCTTTCACATGGGGCGATTGAACGCGTCCTCACACAGTTTAGGGGCAAGGGGTTCTGCTCCCATTACTTCTTGACTGAAAAAAGGATGGAGGGTTAGAGGCCCATTCTAGACCTTCGAGCCCTCAATAAATTCATTCAGAAGCAAAATTCAAGATGGTAGCGCTTGCTTCCATATTACTGGCATCCAAACAGGATGATTGGTTCTCATCCCTCGACTTGCAAGATGCATACTTTCACATTGCCGTCCACCCTGCGCTCAGATGTTTTGTTTTCTTCTTTTCGTTGTAGATTCTCAGAACTACCAATACAAAGTGCTTCTATTTGGACTCTCTATGGCCCCGAGGGTCTTCTCAAAGGTGCTGGTGGTTGTCAAACTGTACCTGAGGAAACAAAGAGTTATCATATCCTTACCTAGACAACTGCCTCCTCAAGGCACACTCACACAACAATTCCTGCT